GTGTCGCCCGCCTCCCGCGCCGGCACGTAGCGCTCCTCTGAAGCTCAAGGTGTTTCCAGACTACTACGCCTCAAAGGAAATAACGTCCAAATTAACAGCCTGTAAAATGCCATTTCAATTAAAAAGGGATGCTGTCCAGGTTAATGCTTCCCCAGCACGCGCTGCCTCACCCCCGTCCTGCTGATCACCCACACGGTGACTGCAGAGCAATATTTCCAGTTCACATCCCGGCGCTGTGAGCCGAGGGCCCCTGGAATTCCCCTTCCACCCCGTTCGCAGAAAGCTGGGCTGCGAGGGGGGATTCGGTCGTTTCAAGAGAGCAGTCGACTTCCCCAGAACTGTTTACTCTTCGCACTTTGCTCAGAATAAACGGCGAAAACAGAAGTCATTTCTCCTGCCCGACTCTGCGAGCCCGCCAGGTCCCCGCTCGGCATGGGAGTGTTTGGGCTGAGCAGGCAGCAAAGGTTTGGTGCCAAATCCAAGAGTTTCTCGCCAAGAGCTCTGCAAACACGCCGAACTCCGGTGTCGGCGCAGCACGCCTCTTCCACACAAACAAAGGGCGACGCTAACCGCCGGCTCCTTTGATCGCAGGGAAAGCAGGCCTCAGCCAGCGCCCTGGCTGGATTTTAACAGGTAATCTTCATAAAAAAAAACATCTTAAACATTTATAAACAAAGTACTTGGGCTCACGTGGCCCAGGGCAGCTACAGCCGGAGCACGATGGTCCCGGCGAGGCAGCTGTTTGCAGAGAGCATCCACAGAGCTTCGCACCCTCCACCTTGCCCCCGCGACGCCTCGTCACCCTTTCCACCCTCTGGGTTCAAAGCTCAGCTTGGAGCAGGGGAACAGAACAAGCCCAGAGCAGCTTCTGGTGACATCCTGATGGGAAAGCAGCCCCAGCAAATCCCACACGGACAGAGATGGAAAACCCCACGGAAACTCAGGTCCCTCCACCCTCCTTGAAACGCGCAGAGTCCTCACAGTCCCTTCCCACCACCAGCTTTTTACGCTGTTTTCGAAGTCCCATTGCAACGCAGAATGGAGAGAAACGGGTCGAAAACCGAGACGTAACCACCCAAGAGGAGGGCGATGCGCT